TATATATATATATATATATATATATATATATATATATATATATATATATATATATATATATATATATATATATATATATATATATATATATATATATATATTAAGCCACATTGGTATCATATTATATATATATATACAGTTATTAATGTGATAATAGTACTAAATGGTTGGTTCGGTTAGAATCTTATATTGTCTCGATATCACTCATTCCTGATTAAAGTGTGGTCATTAATAATTCTCTATCCCAAAAGACATAACTTCAAGCTAGCCAAGATATCATGAGAAACGAACAGAAGTAAATACATTTTTACACAGTCTACCAACCCAAGCTGTGGAATCGAGAACAGAACTGGGCTTCCAAATAGCTCTAGACAACACTATTAATAACACTGGAGGGATTCGACACAGGCCACTAGCCTCCGTCCCTCGGCATGACCTCCTCTATAGTCGGTGGCCGTACTTTAAATATGGTAAAAAATAAGTAAGTCACTGACGACTATCCATCTACTCAAAGAGTTTTGGGGGATAAATGGAATGATGCTCATTACCCGCGTTCCCACCATGTTAATTATTGAAAGTTGACGCGGTTTGAAGACTTTTTATTTATATTATATTTTTTATAATCAGCAGCTGCACTTAGAAAATTGTACATGTTATAAGATTATGTCATTTTGATTTAAGAAAACATCCTGGTAATCCTGGTATAACCTTTATCGCGTTTTTAACTTTTTTGGTGAACGAATTCATGCACACTGATAACAGCCTTATTGATAGTTTAAGTGAAATTTTAAGGGGCAGTATGGATTATCAGGCGTTTTTCACCGCTACTAAGTACAAGCCTCCCTTAGGTCTCTCACCAGAGAAAATTTCCAAAGGAATTTAATGGTGAATCTGGGATTCCGAAATTCTGAAAAGGACTATATTTGTGCAGGATAAAGCCTTGCCCCCATCTCCTGGTCCTGTATAATGGTCCTGTATCAGGTTAAAACAGATCAGAATCTCAGGTCACTCACCCATCAGAGCCAACATGGCCGCCGCCCAATGCAAAACCATCACCTCTGGGATGCAGCGGTTGAGGTGTTGGTGACGCCTGTTGGCGCTTATGTCGGTGCTCAGGTCTGGCATGGTTTCTCCGGGTAACATCTTCAACCACCACAGGTCATTTCGTTCTCCACCACAGTTCAGGTTGTCCTCCACCACAGTTCAGGTTGTCCTCCACCACAGTTCAGGTTGTCCTCCATCACAGTTCAGGTTGTCCTCCACCACAGTTCAGGTTGTCCTCCACCACAGTTTAGGTTGTCCTCCATCACAGTTCAGGTTGTCCTCCACCACAGTTCAGGTTGTCCTCCACCACAGTTCAGGTTGTCATCCACCACAGTTTAGGTTGTCCTCCACCACAGTTCAGGTTGTCCTCCACCAAAGGTAACGTTGTCCTTTATAGAAGATGGCGTTCTTCTCCGGCTGGTAACATCTGTGGTTAAATAGTATATTAATAAGCACAAAAATGCTAATTCCTTAAACATATACAGGAAATAACTGAGCTCAAGCTCATTGTGACGCGAAGTCGCAAGCGCTGTGCTCGCCAGGGATGGCTTGGGATGATGACTGTCGCTGGACACCTGCGAGTCGACATGAAAAGTGTTGTCTCCACACTACCTTAGCCAGTACTGACTCCGAGCACACACTTGAGCCTTTACATTGGCACCTGGCTGTGTGATTGAGGTGCCGTGGTTATGGGTGATAGCGCGCACCATAACACCTCAAATGGCATCATGCATATATGCTGTTAACTCCTTCCCTGAAAATTTTTGATATATAAGCTATGATAATTTTCACTAATATATAATATATTTTATTAGGTATATAACAATTTACGTGAAATACGATATAAATGTGCATATACCAAATTTAACTTGGAGATCAATGAGAGAACAGTTGAAATTCGTCGCTATTTATGATGCCTCTCTTAAGAAATTCACTGGTCATTTAACTACCGATTTTACCTCTAAACTAAATAATACATGTGATCTATACGTGTGTTATGTGTATGTTTTTGTATTAGTATCATTTTTCAGTATATAATCAAGTGCGTGAACGCATGTTAAGTTAGGTTAGTTTACGTTTGGTTTGGTTAGGTCTCTTAGGTTAGGTTTTGTGTGAAACTATTCATTCATATGTATTATGACGATTTTATGATCGTTTATGGTCAGTCAGAAGTTTCCAAAGTAGGTCTGTTATTGGTCATTGGAGAAACAATACACAGTAAATTATTTTATACACAGGGTGGCAATGTGGCCCAGTATTGCACTCTACCGCCTTCACTTTCTCCAGCTGTAAAGCAGGGTACTCATTCGCACGTGCATGAACTAGGAATGCTGCAGTTCCAGCCTGATATAAGAACGTAAGTACAGTGTCCCTTGAAAAACCTCTGTAATAAGTTACTTTTGTTAACTACCAAAAATCAAGTTGTCATTTCCCTGCAGGTCAGCTTGCCCTCCACTAAAGGTTTGGTTCTCCTACACAAGAAACCAGCTTTCTCGTAACTAATGTTAGACTCCTCCACCTTATACAATCAAAAGCTAACAAAGGCCGCGTTAAAGCTTACGTAGTGGATCTATAAGTATCACGAGTGCTCAGACAGGTGTGACTCATCGTGTTTTGGGCCCTGAAAGTCTTTGGGAACAAGAGGTGATATTTTCTGACGTTCATTAGTCATTTGAATATGCGAGAGCAGTATTCTTTTGATGCTCTGTAGTCGAATATACCAGAGATAGTCTACAGTTCGTCCTAGTTTGTTCTTCAGTTCTCCTGACGTCGTTAAGCGTGTAACGAGGTTATTAATAACACTATTTCATAAACAATAAAATATTGTAAGAGATGAAACTCTTCATTTACCCTTGGATGATAATTTCTTTTTTCTTTTTGTATCCTACAGAGAACAAATAGATCAGCTTTTATTATAGGCAAACTTATGTTATTCTCAGAAGCTCTAAATTTATTTATTCTTTCCATGAACGTCCATGCAGAGTGAAATATTAGTAATTAGAAATGGTTCAATACCACAGTAAAGTTCGGTCTTTACACACACACACACACACACACACACGTAAATTAGACAACACTCTGGGATGAAGTGGAGACACTGACTTTGTCCTCACCAGGTTGGCAAGTGAAGGTCGCTTCATACCGCCGAAGAGTCATTCTTCCGTCCAACCTGAACCAGTACTAATGGAGCGTTGACGGCATATAGTGTGTAGTGGTGACAATATCTAGTGTCTAGTGGTGACAGTATCTAGTGTGTAGTGGTGACAGTATCTAGTGTGTAGTGGTGACAGTATCTAGTGTGTAGTGGTGACAGTATCTAGTGTGTAGTGGTGACAGTATCTAGTGTGTAGTGGTCCCTGTCCCCATGAAGGATAGGGGTAGAGGAGACCCACGCAACATTCTTGGTGTTATCTTAGAACGTAATGACAATGACTTCTACACAAAAGCGGTAAGGAGTAGAATTCGCAATGGCAAATACTCCCGCAACAATTTCAGTTTATGTCCCCAGAAGCTTCTCACTCAGTCCGATGTTAATCAAAAGGAGCAAATTTCATTACGTCAAGCCCTGAAGTTTCCAGTAACTGGTGGTTAAGCGTTTGTAAAGGTTGACTTTGGAGCTGGTAGGAAAGTGCTGTACAGATAGGTGTAAGTGTTTTAAGTCCAAAATGAAATGTAATAACAGTTGTCATAATAGTCTGTCATGTGGAAACATGTAAAGGCGCTATAACGTAAACAATTTTAATAAATAAATTGATTTTAATAAAAACAATTCTTGTATCGTGATATAATGTTTAGTAGTTGAATAATAAAGGGTGTTTTAAGACTGTTGTTTTGAATAATATACAATTTTAGTCATTTCATGAAATTTCCAGTCATTTCACGTAATGACTAGATATTTCAATCACTTCGCAAAATGCCTGATTACACTGTTTAACTGTAACACACATACACAAATATATATACGTACATCATGAGACTTACATTATACACTGCAAATTGTTACACATTCACTACCTAATAGTTATTATCTTACATTGATAACTGCTACTGTAATATTTATCTTTTTTTTATACCGATAAGTACTATTTGTAAACTGAGACATACAATATCTAGTCTAGAATTATTGTATATTCTACACTTACTGTATGTATTCTGTAATAATCTGTTAAGTACTTTAATTTCTACACCGACAAACTCTTGCTGATATGACAAACATAACATTTATGCTGATATCTACCGTGTAAGCTGACATATATATCATGTTACACTGAAACATCCTGTGACTAAACCGAGTAAGTCCTTCTACCTTACATTTTATACTCTATATACACTGACAAAGTTACATATGACAATGATACCTCTAATATATACTTACCACATCATGCAAGAGAAGTTATGATAAAATTTTAAGATGAACATTATATTTATGATTATATATATAACGAGACAAAATAAGAAGGACAATTTCATTTATTTTATATGGGAAAAAATATATAAAAGCCACAAAAATTCTCTCTTTGCCATATTTATAATCAACGTTTTTTTTACTAACTAGCAAAGTGTCAAGCGAATATCATTTCTACCCAACGAAATATTAAGGAAATAATCACCACAAATATATTACTTATTAAATTCATCAATCACAGTTACGGCAATTTACAGGAGCAGTTAACACCCTAACAAGGCCATTTATGTATTTATGTATCGTGTAGATAGTTACGAAGAGGAACATTAATCCTTGTTCTTTGGGTTAGTAGTAGTAGTAGTCGGTCGGCTTTGCTCTGCCTCAGGGGAACGAGAGCTTCTGCCCCAACTCCGACAACTGCTGCAGATATTGACTATGAGGCTACTGTCACTGAATGCCGCATAGATCTGCGGCTCAACTAATTTAACACAGATAGGATAGCTACATATGTATTAGGATATTTAATATTAAGGTATTTAAATGGTGGCGAAGGTGTGGCTATTGGGGGAGGCTGGAGGCCACGTTTATGAAAAAAAAAAGTAGTAGTAGTAGTAGAAAATTAGTTGGAATATATAGTAAGTGTATCATGGTGGGATGTAGGTGAATAACAGGCACTGCTGATTTCCAGTGCCTATGTTGTTGGCATAACGTCGGACTTGAGCTAAGTTTGGCTACAGCAGTGTCTATATGAGCTAATTGTCTCGCCATGCCAGTGTATGTTTGTTTATCTAACTTGTCATTACATTATTACATAAGGAACCGAACGATATAACTTTTATCTCATCATAATATTATAAAGGCATCATATTGTGTTGTGATAATAAAGGACGTGATCGTGTGCTAGTATGTAAAAATTAATGCCCAGAATATTATATTGAAGGTGAAAAAAGCTGCAGGAACAAAATAAAATCTTATAACTGATATTACTTTCTCAGTTGTCTTGTCCAAACCAATCTGGGCCAAATTTCCAAATTTAGTGCCATGGATTAATCCGTTTGGAAGAAAATATGCAATACGTTCAATAAATATGTGGACCATGATATTCAGAAAGATGAGCATAATGATGAAGAAGAACCAGACGTCAATAAGTTTGATGGCAGATGTGTTGGGCATGGTGCGTGAGAGGTTGGTGAAGAGCGTGTAGAGCACCAGCAGTGCGGTGAGGGACATGACGGCTCTTACGTTGAGTAACTCCATCCTGATGAAGAGCGTCGCCCAGCTAACCATCAACAACATTACCGACGGCACAAACGTTGACAGCAAGATCACACCCTGGAGGCGGTGGAGCTCGAAGTTGACTGTCATCTTATCCTTTCCGGAGCGAGGATCAATAGCTATATTCTTCACCTTGTACTGAGAGAGATCCTCAGACCCAGTGAAAGACGCTCTCCAACATTCCTTAGAAAACTCAACAGAGCCATCATATTCCCGTGGCATGTCGACGTTGATGCTACACACCTGGATGTCGAAGGGGTATATATAGAGATCGAAGTCACAGGTAAGTACCGCTGTGTACCTCTCAGTGGTGATTATGTCATGGCTGTCCCCGGGATATCCCAGTTCTGAGGAAAATTAGAATTTCTCATATTGTAGAAAAAAGCAGCTGAGTAGGACAGACAATATATTATTATCTCGACAGCAAAATATTGGTATTTGTTTATATTGAATATAGGTACATCGATAAAGTAGGTAAATATATAAGTTTTTGAATTAAATTATACTATTAAAAGATTTGATAAGACAGAAAAGAGAAAATGTATCACCTCTGTTGACGATGTTAAAGTCTGGGATGATGGCCCTGTTGGCGGAAGGGACCTCGGCAAAGTCGTCAAGCAAGCTGACCTGTCCTCCTTCTAAAGGGGAAATTTGGTACTGGGGTCTCCAGATGAGCCCCAAGTCTGCTTTAGTGATAGTAGTCTCCATCCGTGGATTCAGGTTCCTAAAGGTCAACCTGTCATCCCTCCAGGTAAGTGACATGGTAAACTCTACACCAATGGTCATTCTTATATTGTCGACGTGGGTGATACGTGTGATATTGACAGTGGAAATGACAATAAGGTTTGTGTCGTTGGGTCCTCTGGGTGGCACGTGCTGCTGGTATCCACTGCCAGTTTTCACAGCACCACAGTCGTTCTCATCACTCCCATCATTACAGTCATATCGAAGGTTGCAGCGTTTTTCGTGTGAGATGCAGGACCCCGAATTGCACATGTACTGCTCTTTGGAGCAACTGGAAAAGCTAAGATTCAGTTGGCTTCCAACAGGTGTTCCGCACAGTGGCGCGGCCGCAATCCAGGTTTTTACTCCTAGTGGGTACCCAGCAACGTCTTGGGATTCGGATGTGGCGAGCGTTGAATTTTTGTCTGTATCATACAATAACCAACGATTTTGTGAAGAATCCCATATGACAGACATGCTGAAATATCCACGCAGCACTGGTCGCCCAGCAAAGTAGCCGCTCATTCGAAAATGTGCTCTTCTCTCTTCTTCAAAACACAACCCTCGTAAATACAGAAAGTCTTCTCGTTCGAAGTAGCAGGCTCCACATCGCTGAAGTTGGCATTTATTGTCAACCCAAGTACCATCTTCCATAAGGATCACGCAGCTGTTCAGTTTTCCACCGATGGGGTAAGGTGGAAAAAAGTCCTGGAAAGTGATGGGTCTTCCAGTGTTGACGTTGAGATAAACACCTTCCTGAAGCTCGTCTGAGATGCCTAACCAGACTTTCCACGTGCTGCCCGCGCTACACACGTTCAGAAATGGTGCAAGTTCCTGAAGAATCGAAGTGGAGTCTTCGTGAGACTGAGGCACCGGCATAGTGGTGTTGAGAAGTTCACAGAGTTCTTGTGTAGGGCGGAATGATCGTTCCTCTGGGAGTATATCGTAAAACGGTTCCGACCTGCAGAAGTACTGGAGGTCGACAAGTGTCTCCTGGACATCACCGAAAACCTCCCAGTTGGCCGTGTCCATGTTAAAGATGTTCCCTCGACCAGGAGTGCGACAGTTGGCCAGGTCGGCCACCTCAGAGGTGTTCAACGCTCGGTCCCAGACGTTCAGCTGAGCGTAGTCACCATGGAGCACCTGTATGAAGAGATGATCATATATTGTTCAGTAATTAACAGTCATTACAGAAATTAACTTATGTTTGACATTATATAATGCCGGTTCTCAGTTAAGGAAAAAGCCTTTACCTATGAATTTGTTTTTTGGAGTTCTTGCATATAGGCAAGTCATATTAATAGTCTTAACAACAAAAGTTACGAATCTTTATTTTATTTTCTACTATTTAGTAATTTAATTATTTATCATTATTTTTTTCTTTACCAAGGCGAAGAACATAAAAGATAATTTTTCAATTGTCTGTGAATATATCGTTATTTTTTGGGGTCATCTGTTACTTGGGAATCTTAAATATTGCCGAACTTCCTTGCGATCCGAGATGAAATATTACTAACATCCGGGTATAGCTGTTCCCCTCGATTTGGATAAAAAAATAAAAAAATTATCGATACAACTGAGAAAATTGCTTTGCTAGTAAATTTTTAGAGCTGAACTTTCACAGGTATATCTTATCGTTGCTTTGACGAGCTATACTCATTACTGCCACCACGAGCAATGTTCATCGACCTACGAGGTTATGTGAGCCGTTTTTCTGACGATGATCCATCTTGCTGAACCTCTGCCTACCAAAATTCCTTTATATTAAATTCTACAACTCAGTGAAATTCCTGGCCATGGAGTGATCGTCTTATGCCATAACTTTCATCAGTTTAAATACATTACGGTTCTGACAACGACCCTTTTCTGATCTCTCCCTGTACCCTTTTCTTTGATGTAATAAAAACACCAATGAATGACTTATAATATTATCTTGTACTTTCAACTAACATTGGTTGCCTGGTTCTCTGTTACTGGGAATTACTTTGTTACTTGGTGATATAACTCGATAATCTTACTGTCCATGGTGCAATTACCTGGTATTTGTCGAAGCCGCGGGCGAGAAGATCTTGTTCTTGTCCAATGATGAGGGTGCCGTTGAGGGGAAGTCCCGGTGTGCCCTCCACTGGCCCGCTGGTAAATTTCTGGTGACAGATTCGTTGATGTAATATAGAAAGTACAAGTTGTAAGTAATTTGATGTATACTGTACTTATATGCAGGCGATAAGGATAACACATACTGTACATTAATAGTCTTTAATCGCTGGGATTTTTTTTGCATTAAATTGAGTTGCATAATTTATTCAAAAGTTTGATCTTATTCCTACTAATTTGTTTTAGAAATTCTGCTTGAAGTTGATCAACCCCATAAGACTTGTCATTTTCTAGTTTATTAACCTTTTCCAAAATTGGTAATTTTTATCTTTTTCCATACCCTGTATATATGTATTATGACAATGTGTTTTATTACACTGGTGCTGCTGGCACTAAACGCAAAAAACAGCTCCTTCCACACTTCTCCAGGAGGTACAGTCCTCCTGATTTAACATTCTATCCCTAGTTCTGTTTTAAATTTCCTAATTACCTTTTATGTCTCTGAATAATATCAACTCTACTTGATCCCTGGCGATACTGTGTTCACTATCCTGGCAAGACATCCATGTCGAAAGATGCCTCCGGTGAAGTTAAAACCATACATTTGCAACACTCAACTTGTTTACTTTACAAAAGTCATTTAACATTTTTCTATTATTTATTTCTGTCACCCTGGCACTTCTTTCCTCCTCCTAAATCTCCCTATTAGAATCCTCCATTGAAGTAGATATTCGTGAACTTTCATGTTTCTTTTCATTCTTTACATTTTCATAAAGTTTAGCTAAGACATCCTCACAATCACATCTCTCTGTAAAAATCTTACTTATCGTCAAGGCTGTGGGTATAGCATTAAACATGACTAAGAGAACTGTTTGACATTGTGTAATATCCCTTTACATAACTTTTCCACACCTGAGTATATTAAGTGACATTCTCCTTTTCTAATGCTATTTTAAGCTGTCCATTTTCTTTCCATTCTTTACGACGATAGTTCAAATCTGTATTTCACTCAGGTAATAACGGTAAACCCATCACCACCATAAGAGAAGGCAGTGAGGTGATAGGCACGAGCAAACAAGAGATGGAGACTTCTCTCAGTATGGTCAGTCAGCAGCCCTAAAAGTATTCCTACGATTCTACAACAAGCCGCTAGAAATCATACTCTTTTCTTCTGCTGTACTACATTTGTGAAGAACTTGTTGTGACATTATTTGATTAATACTCTTCTGCATAATGAGAAATTACCGACATTATAGTAAACTTTTATCAGGTAGAAGAATGATCTCTCATACACACCATAGTCCACTAGCTAAGATGCACAATTATAATATGCAGAAAATTAAGGAGAAGATAGAATGAGAAGGTGTGCATTGCTAAGGTATGTAAGGTGAAGGCTGAGAAAAAAAAGGCTGAAGTGTATATAATGTTAGTGGACTGGGTGTATTGGACAGTATATTATATAATAAGAGGACCGTGATATGTAGTACAGTGCCAGGGTGAGTGGATGTGAACGTATACTGAGAAGCAAAGTATGTGTTTAGTGTCAGAATTAGTGGTGCGTGGTGTGTAGTATTAGTACGCTGAGGGACATAAAACTCGCCTCTCCCTGCCAGTACACAGTGTGTATGTCGACGTCGTCGTCGTGTACAGTGTGACACAGGTGGTACCAGATCTCCGGGTATAACCTGAAGGTGCGGGTCCAGGTGTGTGGCTGCGTCTTGCTGTAAATGAACGAGCTCAGCTGCACGCCATCGTGGTCTGAAACACCCATAATGTTTATTAAACATGAAGAGGACTCAAGGAAATTTAAGGAGTATTATATATATAATATATAAAACATACATATACAAGTATATGTGTGTGTGTGTGTGTGTGTGTATGTGTGTGTGTTAGAGTTGACAAAAAATATAAGCGTGAGGAACAATGTATACACAAGACGGATGTATAGGTACACACATAAGCAGTCACAAAATGACTGAGGACCACATCAATATACTCACACAGAAGTATCATGTTGGGGGCCGCGTCACTCACAGCATACGACACATGAGGCACCAGAGTAGAGAACCTCTCACATCTTAAACAAATGTATATATTTTTTGTCATAATTCTTTGCAGAAACTATAAAATTTTAGATCAATTCGTTATTTTTACCTTCACAAATTGTATTTTAGAGATTATAGGAAAATCACTTCGTTCTTTTATTATAAAGAAAAAACATAACCGTTACCCTGACAACTCACTCACCTCATCCAGTAACAAAACGTAAACGACATGAGCGGCTCCACTTCCTCTGTGAAGTTGTAGCGAAGATAAACCTTGTCGGTGGACATCGTCTTGAGTCCTCGCTGCATAGTGAACATCTTCACCTTCTGCCCCTGACTCTCTCCTGCAGGAGAACATTCGACCATTACCACTTGTTACTGCTGAGTCTCTTCTGCAAGAGAACATTTTATCACAACTTCCTGACTTAAGATATCTACAATGATGATGTAATTTTTTCCATGTGCTTCAAGCATCTTGCTAGTCTCGGTCATTTTCAACAGTCTTTATGTGGCATCTGACCACAGGATCTTCTCGTTTACTCAATCTTGATAAGTGTATTATTTCCATGGCTTCGCCATTGGCTTGGCAATAGTGTGTTTATCCTGCCCGTATATCTGTCTTTCTCTCCCGTTTGCGATTGGAAGTTCACTTTGCGAAATCTATTTGAATTTTTTCATGAGTTTCATAAATATTTTGGTTGAATGGTAGCTATACAAACTGCAATACGGGTCATGTACATGTTTTCCAAACGTCCTATTTGACGTGTTTTCACCAAGGTACAAGTTCCGTTATTAATTAATTTTTCATTGATTTGATGAATAAGTCAAGACGTCAGGGAGCCAGAGGTCGGGTTTGTGCCTCTACACAGCACCTGCCAGTGAGAGTAGTGATGGCGGAATAATGAATCAAGACATAATCGTAAACAATGGCGCAGGAAGTATCGCACATTTCATGTTTTGGTGCGATTAAAATTCTTAGTTTTATTCGTTGCTTCATAAATTCTGGTATTATACGTCTCGCTGGCAGGTGCTACATAGGTATGCACGTATATTATAGGCGATCAAGCTGTGGAGCAATGTTAGCGTCACCTAATCCAATAAGTGACTTGTGTTTGCTCTCACAACATTCACGATAATAGGTGCAGGGAGACAAACATGACCTCTGGCTCCCTGACGTCTTGCCTTGTACATCAAAGTCAATGAAAAAATTAATCAATCGCATCAAAGAAATTTCGCTGAATTTTATCGGTGAAAACATGTCAAACGATGCATTTTTAAAGCGTGCAATTTATACCCACGTTAAAAATTTTATCATTACCCGTCAAGGCCATATTGTAGTTTGTAGAGAATCTTCACGCTGATCTAGTATGTTGTTGATTTTGTATTGTAAGTTCTTGCAGGATGATGTGATACTGAGATCCAATATACCTACCAATATGGATATTAATACGCAAACATACAGGCACTAATGGACATATTATAAACATTCAATCACTCACAGCACACAATAAACATATTTGCATTTGTACACATTCATACACACACACACATAAACATTCATCTAAATAACGCATATTTACACACGCGCCATGAATACACAAACAGCATTTTCAGAGCATACATGCAATCAAATATGGATACACATAAGCACGCAAGAACTTCTATGAATAAAAGCATATATATACACATACAAACAGATTAACATACACATTTACACACATAAAAATGCATTTAGCTAACATGCATTCATATACCCAAACATGTAAAACCATAAACACACACCCGCAAATGTACACATACATAAACACATGCACACAAAAACATACATTAACATAGCACGTATTCACACACAAACATGAGTCTAGATAACAAGGATTAGCACGCAAACATGCTTACACATAAACACTCATACACAAATACCAAACACACATACACACACAAACTTGTATCTCCATATCATATAAGCACACACATCATTAACACACACATGCTTACAAACATGAACAGTTGTGGGAAAGATAATTCTGCAAAGAGGATGAAAGTGTCCGGGAGGGTCGGGGTGTAGGTCGAAACTTGACACCGTAGCATCAGAGTGGCAAAGAAAAGTCTCCTCAAAACATTCAATTTACGACATATTTGTGATTTTTTTTGTGTGTATTGAGTTATTTATAATACAATACTTGTGTAAGCTGCGCCTGCCTCATCAATAAATAAATAAAAAACTCAATTTATAATGTAAAAAGAATATGGTAGACTTTTAGCTGCCACCTCTATGCAACAGTGCAGGGGCGGATCCAGGGAGGGGAGGGGGGTATCTAATACTCTTTCTTTAATGCGGTAATGTACTCAGGCGTTTTTGTATAGTAGAAAGTAATTATTAGCTGTCTCAGACTATCTCTTAATATCAAGTGCACATGGCTTACAGCGCCCCCCCCCCCTCCCCTTCGCCCTAAAAAAAGCCCAGCTGGTGGGGTCGCTGTGCTTGCCTTGTTCTCCCACCCACATCTTCTTGGACCCCCCTTTTCGATATTCCTGGATCCGCCCCTGCAGTGCCACGACTCCGCCTACCCATAACCTCCCACACACCTCCCCCCATCCCTGCCTGCCAACTTACTTTTATCCACGACTGTACCTAAATATTATACACACACAAAGAAACACACACATACATAAACACACATACACACAAGAACTTTCATATACCTTAACACAAACACACATTCAAGAACCTGCTTTTACATACTTACACATAAACATTGATTTGCATACACACATGTATTCACAAATATGTATCTAGATAAAATACAACCACACACAAATATGCACATGAATATATATGTTTACACTCACACACTCACAAACATGAATATAGAGTACACATAAATAGACATACATATACATAGAGCTCATACATACACAAATGCATACATGGGAACACACACACATATCCACACAACTAACAAGAAAATAAAGAAAATACATAAACATACACATTCATACATAGATATACATAAACATATATACATACAAACTAACACAGGCATATATACAGTACACATATATACACGCACACAATGAAACATATACTCAGAGACTTCCATATACTGTACATAATCTCATAGTCTCTTTTCAATTTGTATTTTTAGACGTGAGAAAATAATCTAATAGATGAAATGACGATCGATTTTAGTTAAGCCCCGAGAGAGTTCGTCCCTTGATCGTTGCCTCCTGTTTGAGCTCTACTTAATACATGATACCTCACGAAAGTGATATGTAGAATTGATTTTGCCTAAGAACTATTATTTCAAGTCTACATAAATCGTGTTTGCCTGAATTTGCATGTCTCTGTGTGTGTGTGTGTGTGTGTGTGTATGTGTGTATTCAGGTCAACACAGGTCACTCACCCAATACAGACAACATAATCACCGCCCAGCATAACACTTTTGGGAAGTCGTGGCCATGGTTGAGGTGGAGACGAAGCCTGTTGGTATGTGTCATGGCTCCCTCGTCTCCCAGGTCACACCGTTCTCCACCCCAGGTCAAGTCGTCCCCCCAACTCGCGTCACCTGTGGCTAACAAAAATCCTACACGAAACTTCAGGTAGCAGATCAATAAACTGAGCAGAAGTGTTATTCCGGTAAGAAGATATAGTTTGACTAGTGTTTCCTTTTTATGCACAGGAAGCAATGATATTTGTTCTGTATTTAGAGTTAAAAAGTTTCTTAGCTATGCTCAATATTCCTAGCTGGGACTCATGTTTTCTTCAATTATTTCTAGTGATAATGAACAAACCGGTTAGTACAATAGTTACTTTAATTTGAGTTTGGGTTCTTTTGGGATGCTCTCTATACCTAAACTATTTCCAGACTGTTGATAAGAATAAACTGTGTTATATTGTTAATTATTACACACATATACATACGGTCAATACTCCTGGCACAGTGAGAACTCTAATGGTAGGTCGTAGGGGAGGGGTGGACCACTTGACGCCTAGAAGAGACGGACCAGTTGTTGCCTCCACTCTACCTTACCCAATACTGATGGCGCAGGCATAGGTGAGCGTTCACGAGTGTCCTGATTGTGTGATGAAGGCGCCGTGGTCATCCATTAGGGCGAGGTCCATAACGCTTCAGTAATGGCCACGTGGATATATAATGTTATTGCTCTTCTAAATTTACAGAGCATAAAAATCCTTTCTACACACACACACACACAGACACACACACACACACACACACACACACACACACACACACACACACACACACACACACACACACACACACAAAGGCAAAATAAAGATATGTGAAAATATTAACTGAAAATGTTATTAAACTCATGACAAGCGAATACAAGTAATTTAAATTTTGCCAACATAATTCTTCGTAGTTCTCATGATCAACCTTTACGTTACCTCAGATTGCAGTAATAGCGTTAAACGTTATCACCACTAGAAGCTTTTATAACCAGAAGACATTATGGTCAGTTAATTTGGATCTTTAACATCTTGATAGTCGCTGATAAATGATTTGATTGATTACTCAGAACATAACACAACCCACCTTAAGCTAAATAACTAAATAAACCTACATATAGAGGGTTTAATCTAACTCGAAGTGAATATACATATATATTTTTTACTTGCTGGCAACACAACGTTTTAGGGACAGCCTCCATTATTGTCAACGATATTATTACCAGTTCGATGAAACAGTACCCGGTGCAT